TCATAGCCCATAATTTTCTTCACATGAGGTAGAGCATGAGCAAAGCCATATCAGCTATCTACAGAGGGGGGGAAATGATCGTGATAATTTATTGCCAGCATTGGCTTGTAAATCTTCTAAACCACTTTGGCAACTGCAGACCCATTCCCAGTCAAACTTGGAAAAGTCACCAATTCTGGAGATAATCCTTGCTCCATGGCATGCTCCCTTTGGAACCAATTGCTCCTGCTACAGCTGCTTCTGCTGCCGCAGTTGCTCCCAGCTTCTTCTGGAAACCTTATCATATTTCAGCAGAGAGAAGGGAAAGCAATAGCTTCTCTTCCAAGGGTTAGCGTTGTTGAGGTCCATGATAACAAATGTGTTACAGCGCCAAAAGACAGAAAATGTAAAAAGGCAGTCATAGCTGTGTAGGAATGTGCACTGTCTTTCCCATCTGCAACCATTATTGTTATTGTTATTATATTATTAAATTTCTTTATGGCTAAATGGCAAACAGACCTCTAAGTACGGTAGTTTACAGAATATAAAAATCGAATGCACGAATTTATTACAACACACAGTTTTAAAAATCCCATTAAAACATTTAAATATAAGCAGGAGAATCTATTGGGGGAGGGGTGTAGCTAGCCGAGGAGCTAAATGGCAGCATAAGTATGCACAGTCGTACCTTGGAAGTCAAACGGAATTCATTTCGGAAGTCCATTTGACTTCCAAAACGTTCACAAACCGAAGTGTGTCTTTCGATTGGCTGCAGGAAGCGCCTGCAGCCAATCAGAAGCCGCAGAAGCCCCATCGGACGTTTGGGTTCCAAAGAATGTTCGCCAACCAAAACACTCACTTCCAGGTTTGTGGCGTTCAGCAGCCAAAATGTTCAACTTGCAAGGCGTTCGGGATCCAAGGTACAACTGTATCTCCAATTAGCATGGGATAATTAACACTTCAAGTGGTTTCAAAAAGACAATTCAACGTCCCACAAATTACACCTTTGGGGAGCACATGGTCCAAAAAGCAAACTTACAAAACGGACATGGTATTCCAGGAACTCCTTCGGAAATCCCTACAATACTATTTTAAAAAGAATGATAGTACCAGACAACCCACCCATGTTATAGGATGCCATGAAGGCAGTCCTAAGGGGCTACTGTATGCGTGAGAAGGAAGAGATTATATGAGCAAAAATATCACCTAATCAGTAATGGAATTTTAAAAAACGGAAGTGGCACAACAGAAGTAATTAGATTATAATATTGTGGTTATAATTTGATTGACAGAAGGTAGGGTGCAGCAGCAGGAGAGAAACAATTACTCAATGGAAAGGGGTAGGTGGGAAGTCAACAAAGATAAAAGATGAAATTGTGTTTTGATTGTAGAGGTTTAAAATGTTAGCCACTCTCTAAGGTGCTGCAAATGTAAAATTATTGAACCCCTTTCTTCCCATTGTTATTATGCAGAGTACAGTACACATTTATGGTGTACACAAACAATGAGTAATAATTATATCAGTCTCACCCAAAAACAAATCAGCTGCAACCTGGTTGAGAGCTGAAGACTCATACTCTGCCAGCAATCCCTGGATAACATGTACCAAAAAACGTTAAAACGAACTTTTTTTAAAAAACCCCAAAAACAAATGACTAAATAGAGAGACTCCTCCTATAAGCAGCCTTCTACTCCTCTTGTGCCTTGATCTAAACAGCACACAGAATCATCACATAGGTTTCTCTATTCTGACTGAAATTGACAGTCCTGATCAATGGACTAAATGGATTGTGGGATAAGTCTCACAAGATTTACCAGAGCCTCTTAGATTCATCTCACCTGCAAACTCTCGGAACTCTTCCATTACAACTCAAAACATCTTGTCTAGCATGATCTGTTGGAAAGTCAGCCAACAGCCACAGCAACTCTAGAAATTATCTGTTAAATCACGATAAAGAGGAGAAATGAAAAGTTTGCCCTGTGGGACTGCAATTGAATCTGGTATTAATGAACACTATTTCAATCTGCCCACAAGCATGTAGATTCCCCATCTTAAGAACATGTAGTAAGATGGTATTCCTAAATATTAGCACCCTGGCACCAAAAGAAGTAGAATATGCAGGCTTGCTATCACATCCTCTTGAATTTGCAGCCCAACTAAGTTGAAACCTCTTGTGACTTACATATAGCTCACCATACATTTTGATCACTTTTCTATTCTTGTGATATGCGTGGTTTTGATCACTTTTCTGTTCTTGTGATTACAAAAAAAGGAGAGGGGCTATCAAACAGGTGGCAGGTCATACGGCATATTTGCCAGGCTGCATTTTGTCAGGTGGGTCGCCATATTGTTTTGGCAGAAGGAGAAACAGACTTGTTCATACTTGTCCTCTCAATGATCTATGTAAGAGTCTTACAGGTGGGTCAGCCCCATACTGCAGATGGGAAACTGAGCCTGAGAGATATTGACTTGCCTAAGGCCATTTTGTGAGTTCATGGCTGAAGTGAGATGAAAGTTGAAATAAGAATAAATGCTGGGGTTCAAAGAATTGCAAAAACAACACATAGGAATAGCAGCACACACCTTTGCACGGCACTGCAGGTATATGATGAAGGAAGTCTTTCATCTCCCACACAAAGATCAAAGAAATATCAGTAAAGTAGAGCAATATGGCGGGGAGGAGGGGTGCAAGACTCAATGGACAGAAAGTTAGCAATGTAAGAATGCTCTTCTTGCAGATCTAACAACTTAATGTGTTACACATCTTCCAAGCACACGTCTCCATTTCCCAGTGAACCCTTTAATGAAAATAAATAATAAAAGTGCAAATAAAAGTCCAGGGCTGCTGCTGCTTCTTTTAACGTATTTCATCAGATGAATGCTAAACAAGTCCACCAAACATTTCAAGGTACTTAGAAAAATTTGAAGCTAATACACACATTATCAGGTAGAAAGGAAGGCCTGTTATTGTGGTCTTGGCTAAGTATGGAAAGTTATTGCTTCAGCAAGTACAAAGTAAAAGATTAAAAAGAATGTTTGAATGTTTTGAATTTTTAAAAAACCTACAATATTAGTAGTCCAAGCAAAACAGCAAATCGTTAAGAAACACAAAACTATTTTTATACATCAACTGCAAATCTCAGTGATAAGAATCTGGATTTTCTTAACTACATCAATGATAAATATATGATTCTGCTCACTGTAAGCTCTAAGATGAACAAAGAAAGAATGACAGAAGTGGATGAGCCCAACCCCCAATCTGAAAGAAGCAAAATGCAAAAAAACCCCACACAAAAAACCCTTTTCTATAGCTGTCATCTGTACAGCAGATGGCTGGCAAATATTCCCAATATTCACAGTAATGCACTGTGCTAGTTTAGAAAGTTTGTCTTGTAGTTAGGAGTCATTTCCTTGCTTTTCATAGATGCATGAAAGTACAGGGCACCATGAAGGGCATTTAGTACAGCTTCCTGCTCTGAGACTCCCAATTTAAACATCCATAACAAATGCTGATTGGATGTGATATAAAACCCTCCAGTGGCTAACTGCCTTCTTCTCCCCTTTTTAACTGTTTCTACACCCAAATACTCCTAAAGACAGGTGGGAATGGTAGGAATTCAAAGGTCAACAAATGGCAAAGAAGGTAAGGGGTCAAAACCATTTGACCTTGGACTTCAGTTAAGTGTCATAGTGCAACACCTACAACTCCTATTCATTTTTCCTGTCAAATAAGTGAATGAGCTTTATTAATTCCATCTTTAAGAAGTGCAATCATTATTTATTTTCTGCAAATTATAAAGAAGAGTGGGGGGACTATTTTGAAATACTGGCCAAGATAAAGGCTATGAATTGGCAAATAATTGCCTTCTGCTGTCGAGTTATCTTTGCATTCTTGTGTTGCTTAATACATACAGAGATGCTCCATCTAGTTTTCAGAAAAGGTTGCTAACCAGCTGTATTAAAGCAGCTGTAAGGAAGATTACTATCGCCTGCTGATTTCTTCTTTAAAAACACACACCAGATTAGTTCAGATTTCTTTCAGTGTAATGAACCTTGTAAGGATTGAGAACTGCATCAATTTCAAAGATAAAGCTGTGAGGTCATTCCAAAGGCTAAACAAACAGTTCCATGAAACCTTTTGTGTTCATGCACTCATTATCCCAAGCAAGGGAATTAAAATGCAACCATCAATCATGGCAGCCAAGCAGTGACTTTAAAAGCCAGGCAAGATGTTCCATCAAACAAAGCATGGGCTGGTCAGGCAATGATGTATGCACAGCATCACAAAGAGCTTTCTGCAAAACTTTCATTATTATTATTATTATTTTATAAAGCTCTTTACAATATTATTTTAACAATGTGGCCGATAAAAAAACAGCTCATATGTATATAATATATACACACACAAGATAGAAAACAAACTTCTTCGGAATGTGCACTTTTAGCCAGTATGTCTAAGTATTCCTTCAGTAGCAGCTCTTTTCATCCACCCATGTATATCCAATACCCTTCATCTTTCGATTTGCAGTGATTGTCGCTGCATTCTACAGCCAGGGCAGTCCCACACAATGTGATTTGGTTATGTCTGTGCGAGTTAATATGGAACCCTACTCAGTGAAGGAAGGAAATTAAGTCGACCTGTGAGAAGTCTGGCACGTGATGTCGCAGTTGTATTGTTGCTTCACAGCAACGTAGGAAGCTGCAGACTAGACTATTTGTCTATCCCACCCAGTACTGTCTACTCTGACTGGCAGAGTTCTCTAGGGACTTGGACAGAAAAAAGGCTTCCCCTGTGTGTACCTGCTGTCTTTTTGTGCATTGCCTGCAGACCCTGCTACCTGATCCTTTCAAGCAGGAGTGGCAGGGACTGAAGCTTCTAGCACATGCTCTCTACAACAGAGGTACAGTTTTGTCCATCAATTGACAAAGTACAACGCCATCACTCAACATCCTGAATTTCGGCAGCCTGATTTTTATTTTAAAAGAGCAGGAGAGTAACATGAACTTGTTTCGGCCACCCTCATTTTGAGGGACAAACACTGTCTTTAAGGAGAGCGCTTGCCTCCTCTGAAGTTAACACACTGGAAACGGTGCCACATTCTTGCAGCCCCCACTCCTACACAAATACAAATTAATGTAGGCTTTGGCCACCTATCTTACTGAAACCTGAGGAATATCTCAGTATAGCATATTGCAACAAAGGCATAACGTTCCCTCAGGGCTAGTCCACAGAACTGCATACGCACTAGAGCAAATGAAAAAGGAATATGGGAGAAAGGCAGTAAATTCTGAAAGAGTATGTGATGCAAATTCCGATAACAATGCTATTTTGCTATATCACTGGCAGAGCAGCGTGCAGGCATGCCCTCTGTTATTTGAAAAAGGCCATTGGTAACTAATGCACGATTTGAACAAAGCATCCATAACTAGGCAACGTGCAAGTCGGATGAAGTGGCACAGATATAAGATAGGGCAAGGCTGCTATATATATCATAATTGCACAGAAAAGAATTTTGTCAGGTGCAGCTTGTCTTGGCTCTGCAGCTCTGTATCGTAAGAAATGTAGGTCCTGCTTAAAAAGAAACAACCGCACACAAAATTCACCAAGGCAGCCAAACAGTATCTTTATTAGGACCAAGAGGAGAGTTTACAGAGCTTCTTCAAGTGGCAACGGCAACTCTTAAAAGTGACCAGAGCCAACGTCTCCCAGTGCATCCGCCTGCCCTTTTGCCTAGTGGTAAGGAATTTCGGGACATCGTATTTCCCCTACAACCTAGACGCCACAGATGCCCTTGCCCCCCTATATTGACAAAAACTCAGAGGAGCCAACTTCTAGGGGCCCAGGTCCCTTCAGCCCTCCGGTAAAATATCTGAGGGGGCCATCCACCCCAAAGTTCAAGGGTGCACATGTGCCACATCATGTGATCAATTATGTGGGGCGGTGCTTACCTGCCCTGCCCCCCAATATTTTAGTCAAGTTGGCACCCCCGGCGCCTCTTGAAGTCATTCATCCCCAGATGTTCAAAGTTCAATAGGAGTACTAGCTAACCAACATACTAGACCTGCTTTCCAGCTAAGCCAAAGGGGGCAGCCCAACATGTATAGTTGGTAGCAGTGCCATTGTTATGTTGTTGTTTCTATTAAGGACACATCAACGTCCTGGACGAAAGGTGTGGAAACAAGAAGCTGTACATATATAAGCCATAGCAACCAACTCCTAGGGGCCGAGATCCCTTCGTGCCCCCCCCAATAAAATATTTGAGCCCCCCCCAGTTGAAAGTCATTGCCATTCAAGTGGTTGTGTGTCTTGTGAACAATTATGCAGGGCAAGGCTTACCTCCCCATATATATATATATATATATATATATATATATATATTCAAGTTGGCGCCCCTGGCTGTGTATATACTGTATAAGCACAACTAAGCCACGTGTGAACAGGCAGCTTGTTGGCTGGCGCGGGGCGGAGACCGAGGAACAAAAAAGGCGGGAAGAGGAAAAGGAAAGACTTACCTTCAGCAGGGCGCTCCGGCTAGCGGCGGCCAGTTCCCTCAGGCTGGCGGCGGCTGAGGCTGCGGCTGCAGCGGCGGCACTGCTAGGGGAGCCTGGGGAGGCCGCTGTGGCAGCCGCCGCCGCCACGGGGTGACAGGCGGGGTTAGTGGCGGGAACAGGGTTGTTTCCTCCTGCTGCAGCGGGGTTGCCCGCACAGGGAGCAGCCGCGTTGCCCGGGGCTGTGGGGCTCCCCGGGGCTCCGTTGCCGGCGGCGGCGGCGCGGGGTCTCTGCCGGATGCCGTCGAGCAAGCGGACGAGCAGGATATTGGCGGGCAGCTCGTCGACCCCGCAGCCCACCAGGATGCGGCACTCGGGGCAGCGCAGCTCGTGGCGGGAGCTGACGATGCTCTCGAGGCAGCGGCGGCAGAAAGTGTGCTGGCACGGGAGCACCTTGGCCGTCGTGTCCAGGCGCTCCAGGCACACGGAGCACTCCAGCAAGTCCAGCAGCGAAGACTCGTCCATGGCCCCTCCGCAGGCGGCGGCGGCGGCGGCGGCTGGTGGCCCCTCGCCGTTACTGCCGCCGCCACCACCCCCGCCGCCACCTCCTCCAGCAGCGCGCCGCCTCCGCCTCTCCTCGGCAGCCCGCTTCTCGGCGGCGGCGGCGGCGGCGGCCTTGGAGGAGCACAGCCAGGACGCCCCTAGGAGCATGGAGACCAGCAGCGGAGGCCGCGCGACAGGCGGCAGCCACAACACATGGCAGCTGGGGAGGAGCAAGAAGCGGGCCGGCGGCGAGCCCAAAGCCCAGCCCGCCGGGGGGGGGGGCTGTCAGAAGGACCAGAGGGCGGGGACTGGGAGACCTATTTTCTGACCCCTCTCCAAGCAGGCGGCTGGTAATAAGAATAATAATTCCAGGGAGCCACGCGCTGCTCCCTCGCCGCCGTCGCCTCCGTCCCCTGCCGCGACGGGGGCTCCCTTCTCGGGGCGGCGCGGCTGGCGGCACCTGTTCCCTTCAGGGCTCCCGCCTCTCTCCCTTCCAGGCTGGGTCAGAAGCGGCCGGAGGAAGAGGCGCTTTCTGGGCGCTGCTGCTCAGGGCGAAGTGCTGGCGCGCAAAGGCGCTCCTCCCGGGCTCCGGAGAAAAGCTGCTCTCTGCTTCTCCTCCTTCAAGGCTTGGTGCGCTGCCCCCGTCCCGCCGCCTCCCTTGCAGCCGAGCTCGGCCTCCGTCGCTCTCCCATCATCGCAACCCTATGGCAACGGCAGCCTCCATCCCTCCTTCTCGCGGGCTCGCCTCTTGACCAAATATCCCGAGTGACGGCAAGGGGAGGCGAGCAAGAACAGCCTTGGGGAGAAACGGAGGGAGGCACCCACCCACCCGTGCGCGCGCGCCCACGGCAGAGCCCCCTTCTCCGGATCGTCTGCCAACTTCCAGCTCCTTGTTTCCGAGCGCGATCGCCGCGAGGACGAGTTGGATCAGACTCGGTCGTGAGGATCAGAAGCAGCGGGCGCGTTCCCCGGCTGCTGCTCCGAGATCCGAGGGCTGCCTGCGCTGCATTGTTGAGAGATCCTGGCGCCTGCTGCTGCAGCAGCTGGCCTGTTGGTAACACTCGCCAGCAGCAGAAGGGCAGCCGCCCAGTCCCCGCCCTCTCCTCCTCCTCCGACGATGGCCGGTGGTGCTATTATCCCCCAAGGGATGCTGCTGCTGCTGCTAATCGAAGGAGGCTGTGAGCGGTGTGAATCAGCTAAGCGGCTCCTGGAGAAAAGGCTGCTGCTGCTGCTGCGCAATGGGGTTCCGGCAGCACCAGAAACGTCTCTCGTCTAGGAAGACGCAGCGCCAGCCAGCTACTGCGCTCTGCTCTCAAACGCCTTCAGCTCCCGCAGGAGGTTTCTGGAATCCGATCCGGAGGAAGTCCGGCAGATGCCAAGCTGTAAAATTCCAACTTCGTGCAGTAACTCCAGTGCTGCGCCACTGCATCATCTTCCCTCGGTCATCGTGATCCGGGGTGTGGGAAGGAGGAGGCGCTTTCCCCCCTCTTCGAGCCCGATCTCAGGCCAAGCGTCAGAGCAACGGAAATACGTACCCCTGAAGCAATCTGAGAAGATGGGGAAGTTTGCAGAAGTTTGTTCAGATCGGACAAGGAAAACAGATTCCTTTCAGTGGGCCTCCCCCTGGTGGAGCTCTGCGTAAACAGCATTTGATGTTGCTGATGGAAGATTTCCCTTCTTCTCTCCACCCCCTCCCGTTTCTTAGCGAACTGCCTGATACCGCTAACCATCCTTGCAGTATTATTTATTAAAAATTAATGCTGATTTCCACCTAATTAGCTGGCTTCAGCTAAACAGACTGTGGCATTGCATATCCTTGCAATCTTCAGTGATATACATACCATCAAGTTAATGCAAAAACACTGGCCTTGGCCTTCAAAGTAATTACGTTTGAGAAGTCCTGAAATCTGACTGAAATATTTCTGCAATGTATTTAAAAATAATAATAATCTACTGCTGATTTATTCACTGAATAGTAACATTTAGTGCCGCAGACTATATAAATACAGTCCGTGTTTATTTATTTATTTTATTAAAAGATATTATAGCCCCACTTTTAAATCCTTTTCTTGTTTAGCCCACAAGTCCTTCTGCCAAGAAAAACAAAAGCAAAACACAGTTTGATGCATTTCAATATTCTCATATTTGTTTTACATACTATTAACAAGAACCAGACTCGGAAACTATTGGACTTGTCTGAGCAGTGTGTTCCATTCTAACACCACCCAGACCGTCTTGTCTGGAAAGGTTGAGGAAGGCTGGTGTGACCCAGAGTTTGTTATAACTGCCTGGAGTTCGGGGGAAATTATGAAGACCTTTTCATATGTGAAAAAATATAGAGGAAGCAGGGAAGGTGGATGAGGGAGACATGGAATAGACAGAAGACAGCCCTCTCTCGAAACCCATGATTTATTTAGTAGCAAAAATATTATTGGAATAAAGGATATTCCAAAACCACATTTTCAGGTCTTTATCGTCTTGCGAATCACTGCTTTATGTCATCCAATCTTCCTGTGCACAGAAAACATTTGGTGGTTTTTAGTCACCCTTCTACTTCTCCCTTGAGTAGCACTCTTAATAAATCATCCACTAACGATGTCTGCGTGCAATAATGGCCACACACAGTCGCATTGTCTGCTTGTCTCTCATTTAATATCGATAAGCCCCCGCCTTGGCATGCAATGCAATGGTAATCACAGTAAGATATTGTTTCTGAGACGACAATTAAGTACAGAGCTGAAGGAACATGAAACTCTCTGCTCCTCAAACCACATTTGCTGGAATAGATTACACTGCCTTCAGGTATGGGATCCAGCTAGTACCAGGGCTGCTTCTCTTTTAACAGTCAGATGATCCTTTGTTGCTGACTAGCGTTCAGCAATGTCCTTGCAGAAAGAGGCCAAACTATCCAATAAGATAAACTATAAATAATACTGATGTACAGAGAAATGGGAAATACAAGTATCAAGGACTTAGGTGCTATCTCAGTAAAACTGTCAGTCTCAGGAACAAAAGCTCTGGAGAACATATAAGGATAATAATACGTGCTGTTTCCAAAAGGGGAGGGAGATTAGCGCACTAGAGATGAGTGTAACAAAATGTGAGAACTTGCATTTCAGTTCATTTCCCTCAAAGATGCAAATGTTAAAGGTTGTTAAAGTCACTAGACTCCCAGTTCTGCTGTTAATGAATAGTCTCGTCCTATCCTATCATTGAGTCACGCTGACTGCAGAAGGGCAACGTTGTGACCTACGTTATACTAGCAGAATGAATACAAGATTGCATCATAGAGCAACATTCAACAGGGTTCACTGTTTGCTCAGACAGCTCTTCTCCCCTCCTACAATATCCCATGCCCCCCCCCCAATCTGCTGCAAAGCATTTTGGAAGCATAGAGGTTTCAGCGAGGAGAGGAACAGAAAGTTCTTTTGCACAGATAGGAGTCCTGATTATGTGACATTAGACGTCCTCTAGAGCAGATATATAGGATGCCATCATAACCAATTACATAAACAGGGAAACAAGCATGTAAGGGGAAATGGTAGGGAAACAGTAAATGATTAATTAATTTAGCTAGCGTGCCATCCTCTCACAGGGCTAGGTAAAATTATGCCCACAAAAAGAGCTGTCAAAACCAAATGCCACGCAGATCAATGCAGAGCTCGTGACAGTTGCCCTCAACTTTGTGCCGCCCAGGTATACTTGAGGTTAGGATCCCAACTAACGAATCGCAGCAGAGCGTCTGGGTTGTCTAAACTCCAGGAAGGGAGCATAGCTCAAATGTGAATACTCACGACATGGAACTACATTACTCTGCCCCCGTATCTTTAGAACTATGGATGCTCAAGAGCAGGGAGTGACTCTGGTGATATGGGATTTTGGTGAAAGTGTGCCTTCCACAAACAACCAAGTCCCATAACAAAGTAGGAAGGGCAAGGAATAGTACTTGCCGTTCACCTTAGACGACTTCACAGTGGACATAAAATGGAAGTGTGTTACCTAGCAACTGGGCTAAAGATTGCCCTTCCCATTTGCTAAATGTAAAATGGTGCCTCAATCTCAGTTTAAGACTGCCTTTCATTTCAAAGTTGTGACTAAGTGAATGTAAGAATTCTCAGAATTCAAAACTGTCCCAGCAATCACAGCACCAGGGACTAGTGAGTTATAACGTTATGAATGTGTTATAAAAATGTTATAAAAATGTGACACCGGGGGGTGCTGTACAGCTCTCAATGGAAAATTGCCTTGAGAGCTATATAACTACTTTTTTTTTAGTGCTTTTAAAAATCAGTGTAGATCCAGCCCAGGTCTAATATCGAAGTAGGCATTTTGGAGATAAGTAATATACTGTGTTAGTGCTAATGATGAAATAGTCCTTTGGCAAGGATTGGTTAATACGATCTACTCCATGGATTCTATTGCCAACCTTATGCTGTGGGGGGGGGGGGGGCAAGTGAACAAACATCTATTTGACCCACCAAGCCTTTAAGCCAAGAAAAAAACTTTACTGTGTTCAGTGAGCAGAATTCAGCAAACACTCCTTGGAACCAGGATTCCCCTCCCCACCTTTAAACCAAGTTATGGTACTGCTTCCCCCCCCCCTTTTTTGCTCCACTACAAACTAATATGGAATGTACTTTTAAAGTAAACGTTCCCACTGCTTCTTTGTGCCAGCTTGTTAGCAATGAAAACTAACAACAAGAGAGGCATATCTGATCCTCTTCAATGCTGCAGATCTGAGCAAGGCTTTTCCTCTTGCATCCGGTGTTATTGCAGGTGCAAGGCAGTTTGTTCGGAAGCAGCAGTTTTCCCGAGCAGGGGTTATAATGGAAAACAAGAAATACATTTCACACCAAAGAGAAAACGAAGGGCATTTTCATCTTCAAAATGGACATTTTGCCTACTCTGATTCATTCACAGTACCCTTCCACTTTCTGTTAGTTTCCCCCTCAAAGTAGAGACGGGTTGCATGATGTAATAAACAAGTTTTGCAGTTTTCCCGCACCCCAACTTAAGACCATATATCAGGGGTAGTCAACATGGTGCCCTCCAATATGTTGTTGGACTCCGGCTCCCATCAGCTCCACCCGGCATGGTAAATAATCAGGGATGATGGAAGTTGGAGTCTAACCATGTTGGCTGCTCCAGCCATAAACGTTTTAATGTGCAAGAAAAACATCCACCACACCACCAGTGTGGTGTAGTGGTCAAGAGCGGAAGACTCGTAATCTGGGGAACCGGGTTCGCGTCTCCGCTCCTCCACATGCAGCTGCTGGGTGACCTTGCGCTAGTCACACTTCTTTGAAGTCTCTCAACCCCACTCACCTCACAGAGTGTTTGTTGTGGGGGAGGAAGGGAAAGGAGAATGTTATCCGCTTTGAGATTCCTTCGGGTAGTGATAAAGCGGGATATCAAATCCAACTCTTCTAAGTAAATGTGACAAGCTGTGTAGCAGCCCTGAAAACAGCAATATGCACCCATACATGCTATAAGCATGCTGGTACAGTTCAAATTCACACAGAGTAGATGTGATTGTTCACGGGGGCCTTGGAAACAGTCGACACCTGCACCCCCAGTTCCCTTCAGGCGGAGAAGCCTTCAGGGACAAAGTAACGACTGTGTAACTAAGACTGTGGGAAATAAAATCCTTGCAAGGTCCTCTCCTCCCTGGCAAGGCTGACTAAAGCTCTCGTGACTTCAGTTCTTTTGCGGTTTCTCTTTCACCGCCAGTTAACAGCTGCACACGGGCAGGACAAGTTACAGCTGAGTCCCTCCAAAATTGAAGCGGATCGCTCACACTATTTTGCAGAGTTGGCATGGGACCTTTAATTTACAGGGGCAAATGGCTGGTTTCAAATACAAAGGGAGTGGGGTTAAAGCAGCAGAGAAAATATCTCTTGTAGTCAAGGTGTCCTGAATTTCTGACCTACCTGGCAGCAGGTCAGTATCTGGTCTGCAGTCCAGAGTCAGTCCACACGTCCAATTTCTGAAGTCCAAACCAAAGCACAGTCCCAGAGAGATCCTGGAGCATCCAGGTTGGAACAAATTGCTGGTGCTAAATTGGAGAGATCCAAAAGGTACAGTAAATTGAAAAGGGAGAGTTGAGTTTCAAATGTTTAGAAAATCTGGCTTAAGGCAAGAATGCCCAGACGAGCTTAGAGGATGTCAGAAAGAGAAGTAAACAAACTGCTGGTCTCATAATATTTGGAGGATATGGGATTACTGAAAATGCTTATTTTAAATAGGACACTTTCTCTGTCTCAGTTGGCAAAACAC